GTATATCTACTTTTACCTTTTGTTTTTAAAGTTTCCAAAATAATTCTGTGAGGACTTCTAAAGGCTGTGGTCTTTCGCAATTTGGAACATTAGACTCTAAACAATAAAAGCAATCTTTGATCAAGAAGGTAGCTCACAGTTTTATTGATGCTTGTGAACATAAGATGATGTTAACTAAAAAATCGCGGGTTACTCACGTATAAATACTGAGAAAAGCTCCACTAGTTTCAAACCACAAAGAGGCTCTTCCTTATGAGCAGTGTGCACGGTTTTTTTTTAAGGGGGGAAAATCATCGAATGACTGCTCCCACCTGGGTGAGGCGGGAGGGAGTGTCAGACTCTTACTGACTAAAAACCACCCCGTTCCTTCTCCTGCACGTCGAGCCGGAGCCCCGGTTACCCGTTAGTTTCTCCGCGACAGTGTGCACGGTAGCGCGGTCTGACGATAGACAAAAACTTAAGATGATGTTTTACGTTTATTTACTCCTACGTTCTCCTCTCGTTATATAAAAAAATGTATGTAATATTAGAACCAATGTAAGGCATTCAAAACTTGTCATAATCCTTTCTTCATTACACAATCATGAGGTCATATGACTTGACATCATTTAAATAATCTTTCTCTTACAGCGTCCATTTTGTTCGAACTGAATTTTTTGAGGTCATTATAAACTTTCGGATGCAAAATAAGGTAAAATCAAGGGGCCTTACCTGCCAAAATGAGTTAAAAGACTATAAAACTTGCACACGTATGCGCTTGAGTCATTTTCGTATAAAATATTCAGGGAGAGACAATTGTAGGGTGACCATGATAGCGTATATCGAAATAAGTATTTTTAATTGTCATTGAAGCAGTTTTCGATTAGGTAGGTATAAATGACTATGAGTGACTATACAATACACGTAATAATATATTTTGTTTCACTTTTTTTTTTCAAAAGATGAACCCACCTTCAGTTGTATAACATTTCTATTGCGATACTCACGTCGAGTACAGCATGAATTTGTTTTTAAATTTTGTGGAATTCTCAGTAACACACAACAGCCTTATCCCTGTCCCTATCTGTCTGACATCTTGTAAAAACAAAAAAATATCTGTGGAAAGTCTGCTACGTAGAAGAATAAAAGGTATACATAGCATTATATGATAAAAACCAAACAGCCGACCAGTTGAATCACCATGAAACCAATTGAAATTTTTACAGGCGGTTGTAAAATATCAAAGTTTAATTAGCATGCTACTCGTGTTTAGTAATAATTAGAAACACGAACCGCTGTATTATAAAGGTTTTAAAACGTTTACGCGGAGTTTTTATACAAATATTTAAGTCGCTCGCTCTTAAGACATAATGGCTTGAAGATATACATTTCTTTTGTATTTCAATAACACACTACACATTTGTATATTATTCATAGTTTCAATAGACGTAATAACTGCCATTCAACGTTTTTTTTCTCGGAAACAAAAAATGTCGTTAAATTATTTTTTACGCGTAAAGCCTAATTTCTTAGTAGCACGGAGTATGGTAGTGTTCGGTGTTTAGGTATAGGCTTGATCATTATCACAATGAGGCTTTTGACACGGCCATTTTTTTATAATATGAGTACATTATACATAATTATTATTGTGATATTTTTACTTACTGCAAATCATTTGTACGATCAATAAAATTGCCTTTCAACCAGTGTCACCTATAGACACTTGAACATTTGGAGATATGGAGAAATAGGGGTTGAAGATTCGAGATCTGGCGGTCTTCCCCAAGGACACTGAAACCAGACCAGGGTGCTTACTCTTGAAACCAATCTCAATGTAATTTCAATCCATTAAAATCTCAATAATTGTTCATTGTTAAAACTATACAACTCCTATCGTAGCTGTTAAAATAGCATTCAGAGTACGGAATACAAAGCCAAATTCAATACCATTTAGTTAATTCAATATCCACGCAATATGGATGCAATGGGCGCTAGTGTTGGAACTCAAGAGTACGAAATTTTACAAAACCAATATCTATTAATCGTAATTGAATTCAAGAGTAAGCCCCCAGAACTGACTACGATCATTAAAGATGATAGATTCAAAGTATGATCGTTTATGGTCTAATCAAAACAAATGATTTGACTTGGACAGTCCATAAAGTATTTACTAGAATTATTGAAACATAAAATATTATAACGAGTTCGTTTCGGCGTTGGGAATTCACCTATAAGATAAAGAAAGATAACAATATAAGTTACAGTAATAATTAATTATCCACACATGTGACAATGCTCTTTGAAAATAACACGTAACTGCGACAAGTATGTATAATGGACATAGTACACAGACGCAGATTTTTCAACTGTGTATAGTTATAAAGTTAAAAATGTATTCAAGAAATTTTACAGGTTGGGTTAATTTTATGTGCTAGTGATTGTAGATAGGTATAAAAGAAGATTTAGTACCCTTATCTTTTTTTTTTTTTTTTTTTTATTCTACATTTAATTAATACGGGGTTTTTATCCATGAGGATACGCCAACCCCATCGTACCTAATACTACCTACAACCATTATATAAACAAAACCTTAAAATTAACTATGAAAGTTCCTAATTAACTTAGTCTTAATCAACGAAATACATCAACTGACACAATCGTTTTGCTAATTTAGAATTTGGCTGAGCTAAAATAGATTGTATCAACCCCACCTCTTGCATATTTAGCTGGAATTCATTGACCAGATCGTTCCGTTGACTTTGATTCCTGACACAATCCATCAGTAGATGTTGAACGTCTTCTATAACGTTGCACGTCGTACAATTAGGTGAGTTTATTTTTTTCATTAGAAACCCAAATTTCGCTGATGGATAGTGTCCGGAACGTAATCGTAACAATAAGTTAATATAATTTCTGCCTACCTTACTATTCTCAAACCAGGGAATCTGAGGAAGCTTACCTTGAATGGTCTTGTACCATATGCCTTTTTCTTTTGATGTCACTGTAAAATGATTTTGCCAAACATCAAAGCATTTCTGTTTAAACTCAGGTAAATATTCCAAATAATCAGGTGTATAATCAAGTTGCATTCCTTCCTTAGCAGCTAATTTCGACAGACGGTCAGCTTCCTCATTTTACCCTTATCTTTATACTGGTTTTTACCCTTAACCCCACTCGTGTTAATATAGTTTTAACACTTGACTACTTATTTCTTCCTATCCATGTTAATTTTTGTTCTCTATTTTTCAAGATTCTATCTACTAACATTTTTATTTCATTACAATAAATTATCACTAATCAATGACTAAAAATGTTTATTATAGGTAAAGGTATTACATCCTTTGATGACGACAGCAAAAAAAAACGATAAAAGTTTAATAATAATTATTATAACGTTTTGTCTAGAGTTGAACATCCCTACAGGACAAATTAAATTGGGTTTTTCTATTTAGAAAGTCTTTGTAACTACTAACACTGAGTCAATACTTTTGGTGACAGGCTTTCCACATAACCTACAAGGGAAATTATAGTAATAAGTGCTTTCCTGCCTATATACCCTCTACGTAACGCTATGGGAGAGCTATGCTCTAGCACGAATGTCCTCGTAGAAAACCAACGTAAAACAACGTTGTGTACGTCGCGTCGTATGAGTGTGGTAACCGGAGGCCGAATTATTCCCCTCACTAATCTTCCCAATTCCCGTATGGGGTAGATTCATAATTTTTATTTTAATGTTCGTCTAGTAGATTATTTTAAATCATTAGACACGTACTTTTTATTTTCTTACAGAAATGAATACTTTCGACGATATATTGATTTAAAATGTCGCGTGACGTCACTTCTTTGTACATTTTATACGTAGAAATGACGTTTTAGTCCCACTCTTAAACTTTATCTAAGTATTGTTTTATGATACGAAAAAATAAACAAAATTTCTGTCTTACTAACTTACGGACTAATTATATTTTTAATTTTTATACCCTGTCATCATCCCAATTGTGCCTGTATTTTCAGAAGGGAACTATTTCCATACCTTAAGAAAATCTTTTAGGTAGCTTACTTACTTATGCTAAATCAATATTGTTAATATTTACTTCTCCTCGATTAATATCTTCAGATTTCGTTACATGATTCAAAACAGTTAATCATGTATCTGTGAAGCGCGCGGGACTTCAGTGTTCCGGCGTTTCCGTGGTTATATCTATTGTAAACTTGGCTGACAAGAGTTGTAGCAGTTTTTGAAGTCTGCGGCGGGCTTGTCCCATTAAAATCATATCATGACTTGCATACTCTTGTAAGAATCGATTTGTCCAACGCCAAATCAATTTTAATTAAAGAATAACTTTGAATAGTTGACAATTCTTCCATACGTCAACTTTCAAATATCAATTTAATTCTACAGTTAAGAAATTAACTGATTATTGAAAAATCGGCCTTAGTAGTTACTAATTAAGTAATTAATTTACTTAATCAATTACTTGACTTCCAAGGTGCATAAAAAATGTTTTAATTTATAGCAATCAATTTATCTTTATCTCTAATAATTTTATTTCCCTTTACCTTAACAATAAAACTCAGGTAACAATAAAACAATTAAAATAATTACTTTTATTTGAGTTTCGTTTACTAACCAGGGTATTTTTTTAATCTGAATTAAGTACTGCAGTCGTCATAGAATTATACACTTACCATAAAATATCATCCTTTAGAATCGAAGTAACGCCAATCGTTCAATATTTTTTAAGCGAACAGACTGACAGATGGAATCGTGGGCTGTCTGAAATTTGTACGTAAGGAAGAACAAAATAAATAATAATAATCACTGACCAAATACGACCACTATCATGAAATCTGCCACGAAAGTAATCAAGGTACGTAACTTACGTACAGGTAAAATATTGTCAAAACGTTCCGAGCATTCAGTAAACGCGTGGTCACACTACTCTTAAACCCTCGAAAACGAAATGAAGTGCAGTTGATAAACCGCGCGGCGCACGCGCAGACGGCTCCGTAATTCAATAATGGCGCGAATCCCAATTACTTTAGCCGTCTTCTCGGCGACAATTTTGGCCGCAAATATAGTTACAGGTGCGTAACCGTGATATATAATATAGTGTTGAGTGTGTTTCCTTTACCGGGTAACTGTGTGTTTTTGCCCATTTTTCGGTGCTGTGTTTTTTATGTGTTTATGTTTTTTTTACGCGATATTTTGTTATGTGTCTTATTTGTGCTTATTAAGTTGAATGCCAGATAGATTTTTATTCAGGAGGTTACGTGTTAAAACGACGTTTAAAATAACTGGAATATATGAATATTTATTCATAAACTAAAGATGAATAAAACATGCTAAAATATGGATGTTGTGTTGTATAATATTTGTGCAGTTGCTCATTAATATTTCACCATACCTATACACCGAATAAATTATATATTTATAATACCTAAAATTCAGACCAAAATCCTTTGGCAATTGTACTATGGTTTTATAAAACATCCAATTTTTAAACTGCAAATAAAATATTTGTTTTTTCGTTTCAATAGAGTCGAGAATGCGATTTTATCACTGTCACAATACAGGTTCGGTGCTCGGATTAGGCATCATGCTTCAATGTACAGCTCTTTGCATCTAACCACTGACAAGCACTTAACATTTTGAATAATACTTCTTATACTAGCTTCTGCCCGCGACTTCGTACGCGCAATTCCGTTTTCTCCAGTTTCCGTAGGAATTTCGGATTTTTTTTTTATTTTTGTAATAAGAACCATCTCCTGACAATAACAAAGACAACAATAAAAATAGTGAAATTAGTCCAACCGTTCACCCGTTATGGTGAGATCAAAAGGGATATAAGAATTCATTTATATACCTACCTATGTACCTACATTTTATTTATTGGTTCACCAACAATTGTACACACTGGTTCTAATTTAAGGTTACATGCAACACATATATGATTATTATGATTTACAATTGTATTGTATTATAATTTTATAATTATTGCTATAAATTACATTTCAGGTTAATTAATAAACAATGGTATGTAGTTTAAAATATACTGTAACTGAAATCAATTAAGGCTGATTTTTCAATAAACAGATCATTTTTATCTGTTGAATAAAATTGAATTTTGACAGGTTTTTGTATGAAAGAATTGTCAAAAATTTCTTTGATAGCTAGCTGATTACACCTTGGAATGAGCAAATAGCTTCACTTTTAATTTTATTTTTGACGTTCAAAAGTGGCTTTCTGGTCTAATTGAAATAATTAATTTTGAGTTTGATTTTGATTAGTTAGAAAACAAATATTTTGTACTAGGTGACCCAGCAAACTTCGTATCACCAAAAATTGTTTTTCTTACCTTTTAAACCTTCCCTGGATTGCCACAAACATTTCGAGACCAAAATTAGCGAAATCGATTCAACCGATCTTGAGTTTTAGCAAAACTAACGAACGGCAATTCATATTATTTATATAAATAGATAGATAGATAGATTTGTGAAAGAAAATGGCTAGTCATGATTGGATACGAAGAGCTGAAGATCGACATATGCAATAATACAATAATGTCTATAGATAGAGATAGGCAGGGGCGGATTAACACTTTACCGTCATTATAGACACAATTAAAGAACAATAGGTTGCGGTCACCGGTGTCCTCGCGGTGTTTGACAGTTTAACCCTTTGAGTACCGTCATTATAGACACAATTAAAGAACAATAGGTTGCGGTCACCGGTGTCCTCGTGGTGTTTGACAGTTTAAACCTACAGAGCGCCTTTAATTTTTTGGGCACCACCGCCTCTAGTGCATATGGCCACACGCGTCTCGCAGAGCCCTTTTCCATACTTGTCTTAGTCACACTTGTCTTATTTGCCGTAGGAGAATACGGCTCTGAAGACATGTAAAGTCACAAGTGCCGAGTGGTCGCAAGTGCGACTGCCAAGGGGTCTCGGATTCGATTCCCTAGTCAAGCAAAGTATTACTGGGTTTTTAAAAAAATATCTCAGTATTAGCACGGAGTTTGGAATTTAGCCTGGTATATGGCAATAGGCTCACCCTCTATTACATGAGACTCATAACATAAATATAAAAAGTGGGTGCTACATTGTACAGTGGCATTAAGTGCCGTAATGTGCACCTCTGCGTGCCCCTCCGTGGACAAAAAGGCGTGATGTTAAAAAAACAAAAGAAAATATCTGACGTTCCTCGTCAAATGTTCCTTTGAAAATGTAATTAAAACATACAATAAATACACATACGTAAATTACAATAAATCACTTCGCTTCACAAAAGACAGTTACCGTAGCAAATCATGCATGAATTTCAGCTGAATCAATGAAAAATAATAAGCTATTTACTTCAAGTATGTTTTGTATTTATACGTCAATGTACGTATTTTGTTTGCTTTGTTTAAGACTGCTAAGGCACCGACTTCGATGCCAAGGTCAGGTAGACTATTACTCTAGTATTCTTTCAGATAATCTTTAATTGCATAATATAATTTTAGAAATGTATTATGGATAGTATGATCATACTGGTAAATTCTTCCTAATATCATAAATCTGAAAGTGAGTTTGTTTGTTTGTTTGTTTGTTCCGCTTTCACGTCGTAACTACTAATACGATTGCTTTGAATTTTTGCAGACGTAAAGTTAGAAGTCCGGATTAAATAATAGGGTACTTTTTATCCCGGAAAAATTTGATGTTCCCGAGGGAAAACAAAAGTATTGGTATAGATGGCGCTATGTGTATTGGTAGGTATATGTCACATAGGCAACTTTTTATCCTTTTGTGACGCGAGCGCAGCCGCGGGTAAAAGCTAGTAGATAAAATAAATAATGTAAAATGAAAAGGATAATATTTTACGTTTTTTGCAATTTTATCCATCGCCAGGTTTCACATCAACTGGCATAAGTGGCCAGTGTTAACCTGATTGATTGAGATTTGAGAATTATTCACCACGCTTGCTCAATGCAAAGACTGAGAAAAGCTCTTCTAGTTTCGAACCACAGAGGGGTATCTTTATGCTTTTGCTGTGTGATGTGATAATGATGACACCCCCAGCCGTACCTATAGATCTGTGGCCAACCACAAGGGTTATCAGACCCTCGGCCCCGGTTCAAAGCAGTCATTTATTTCAATTAAACCATCATTTGGTACTTATGAAACGTAAAAAAATACAAAATAAATAATAGTCTGTCAGTCAGTTCGTCAGTGAAGCTATGTAAAGCTAGGTGCTCATTCCAAAATGTAAATTCGAATGAAGAAGAACGAGCAACAAAATGTATTCGTTACTCTTTTTTTAAAAAAGTATGTTAAGTTCTTAGTCAGTAAGAGTCCCTTCCTTTTTTTATGGAATAGGAGGCAAACGAGCAGACGGATCACCTGATGGTAAGCGATCAGCGCCGCCCATGGACACCCGCAACACCAGAGGAGTAATAGCTGCGTTGCCGGCCTTTTAAAAAGGAATACGCTCTTTTCTTGAAGGTTTGAAGGCTCTTGCCTCACCCATATCGGAGGAGTCATTAAATGATGTTCCATCACAGAGACAAAGATAATGAACACCATCCATACATTGTAATCGCTATTGATAACTATGATTGCTAAATACACCTTAAATAAAAATAGAAGTTCCGTAAATATAGCACGTTTCTTTACTTTTCGGAAAGAATCACGTATTATGTTGATAAGGGCTTATTTCTATCTATGTATCGTTTTTCTTGTTTGATTTAATCGATGGAGATTGCGTAATTTTGCGTTTAAGATGGTTAGAATATTTTTTCTTTGACTGCCTCATTAGCGGAGTGGTCGCAAGTGCGACTGCCGGGCAAGGGGTCTCGGGTTCGATTCTTGGGTCGAGCAAAGTATTACTGGATTTTTTTTTTCAATCTCAGCTGTAGTAGGTAGACGACTAATTTTTATTTTAATGTCCGTCTGATATATTATTTAAAAACATTAGACACGTATTTTTTCTTTTCTCACAGAAACGAATAGTTTCTAAGATATATTGATTTGAAATGTCGCGTGACGTCACTTCTCAGTACATTTTATACTAAGAAATGACGTTTTAGCCCCCACTCCTAAACTTTGATTCGTTTTATCTAAGTATTGTTTTATTATACGACAAAATAAAAAAATACGTGTCTAATATTTTTTCATTACCTAACTTACGGACTAATTATATTTTTAATTTTCATACCCTGTCATCATCTCCATTCGGCTGTCTGTTTTTTGGTTACATTGTTTAGTTCAGAATCAAAAATTTGTGGATTAAATTCACGGAAAGAATAACTTATTTCTATTTTCTAATATTTTTAAAGTAAAACATTAGACACGTAGGTACCATTTTACTTCTTTAAGGTACGGAATCAAATAAATACTTTCTAAGATGTATACGTATATTATTCTATGGCTGCATAATCATTTGGCAATACTGCTACTAGTTAATTATATTGCGAAAACACACTGTTCAAGAATTCTATTAAAAAACGATACACGATCAACCTGTGCCATCAAGATATGAATCCAGTTTATCGTGGTCTCACTTTCAATAATCCTTGCGCACATTCGACGACAATTTAAAATGGTTACATATAGTTAGCTTGATGTGTAAAACAAAGAACTTCGGCAAAGTCTTAAAACCAGTTATCAACAAAAATTACTGAAGAATACTCAGGTACTTTTTGCACTCATAATCACAAGTGATCAGTGTTCTTGTGAGTACTTATTTGAATAAATAATAAATTCCGTAAAAAAAAGTGTTGATTTCCATATCATTTGCAAATTGACAGTTGGGCAAAAAGTTTACCGCTCATTTAGTATGTGGTTTGAATATAATTTATCTTGTTCTTATGTACAATATAGATAGACATATAAATAAGTATGTATGTGCTTTTTTTCAATTCTTCGAAAATTGCAAGTCTCAACCAATCTGAGTAGGTTGCTTATGGGACGACATGCTCCATCGTAGACCGCAACATCGCTTACCACCAGGCGAGATAGTGGTCAAATGTTGGACCTTAAAAATAAAAAAAAATGTGTCCTTCGGGGGTCAAAAGAAGTTTTGCTTATGTATATTCACTACATAGTATAAAACAAAGTCACTATCCTCCGTCTGTCTGTCCCTATGTATGCTTAGATCTTTAAAACTACGCAACGGATTTTGATGTGGTTTTATTTAACAGAGTGATTCGGAAGGTTTATATGTATAATACATGCATATTGCACCCGTGCGAAGTGGCGGGTCGTTAGTTATAAATAAACTAAAGTTATATTTTACTTAATTTTTGATAGGTTTTACCCTTTAAAAACGTGGGTTAAAAACTACTAACAAGCAACGTCTATCCACCACACCAATTAGTATAACAATAAAACACTAAATTAAACTATTATTTATTCAAATGTATAAATTTTACAATCTCTAGTGATGATCAAACTCGATTTTTTTTTGCAAAATACCGGTCAAGGGTAAACAAAACATAATAGCGATTGCGATTTTACTATCGAATCATCACATGACTTTAACAAGTTGTTAATACGTTATCAATGCTAAATAACTTTTTCCTTATTAAAGATCTTGTTACTTCGTTTGATCCACAAATTGTTGTCGAGTGTAAGTGTCAAGTGCATATGAAATTGTACATTTTTAAAAAAAGAGAAAGAGATAGTATAGCAAAACGCTATTAAAATGACAAAGGTTAATGCTATATTGTTCAATCAATCAAATGTTCAAAGTGGCTATCGTTCATGAATATTTATTAGATAATATAATCTATTTTATGTATAATTTATTTTGTAATGCATGGCATTTTGTCACATGTCTTTGTAATTGGCATAGAGTGTAAATCCAAGTCGGTCAATATATTTTTTATTACTCTTTATTTATGTTAATCTTCGATATTATTAGCTGGCTCTCTAAACTATTGTAGTTAACCGTTAAAAAACGTTGCCCCAAACTAGGATTTTCTCCTGTATCGTGGGTGTGTTTACAAACATACAAGTTCACATACACATGACACCCAGAGCGGGAACAATAATCTGTGGATCACACAAAGAGTTGTTCCATGAGGGAATTGAACCCGCGACACGTAGCGCGGCATCGAGTTGCCCAACCACCGCACCAACCATGCAGTCAACCGTAACTCTACAATATCAATATGTGCATAAATTCTGAAAGATCCATTCACAATTTTTCAGGAATTCCTGGAGATGCAGCGGTACCAAAGTCAAAGAAGGTGCTGGACACCATCATGAGTCCAAATTACATACCGGTGGAAGAAAAACATGGTTCATACTGGAAAAAATCAGCTGCCCAGACCTTAAAAGCTAAATTAGCAGAGAAACCAAACACGAATAAAGCAAAGAATGGAATTCTATTTATCGGTGATGGAATGTCTCTGGCAACTGTCATGGCCGCCAGAACATTCTCTGGACAATTGGACCAGGGTTTGGGTGAAGAGTCTGTGCTGAATTTTGAGAATTTTCCCGTCAGCGGATTGGCAAGGGTGAGTTGGTTTTTATAGTATAACTACGATCTGCTATTTTTTGTCTCGTCATTAATATTTTCTACCATACCAGAAATATACCTACCTAAGACCATTTTCACATACTTTGATATTGGATCAAAACTCGGAACATCGAATATACATATCTCAATACTCACATAAAGAATGGTTCTAGATATGAGAGCTCACCTACGACACATTATAACTTTTGTGGGACCCAACCCCCTTTCCCAATCCCCCCAATCCCTGAATCCCCAACAATCCTCAAATTCCTAGTCCTTAAAAGGCCGGTAACACACTTGTAACGCCTCTGGTGCTCCAAGTTCCTTCTCGGTTTTCGTTCCTCGTCCCGTCCAGTTCCTCGTCAAACTGTTACGTGAGTAAACCGAAAAACATAACTGCGACAAAATCAATGTTTCAAAGTCAAAGTCAAAATCATTTATTTCAATTACACCAGAAAGGCACTTTTGAACGTGAACAAAAAATTAAAACTGAGCTAATTGCTCATTCCAAGGTGTAGATTCCTATGGAGAAAAACGAGCAAGTAAAACCATATTTTAATAATCCTACGTAAAAAAGAAAATATAAAATACCTATATTTTCTCATCACAACGACTATACAACTTCTAAGTACAATGCCAGTATTCAGTAGTACCATTTCACAGTAACTTTCTTTGACTAGTTTTTTATCAAGAATCGCTAAAGCCTTTTATTTGTGATTCGCATCAGTGAAGCTGAAACATCCAAATGAACTAGTTTTTAAGCTACTAACGCTCTGATTACTAAAATCGCTTTATAAAGAAAAACTAACGGTTTTTTCTGCGATTTTGCCCGCGTAGTTGCATTAAAAAAATAACCTATAATACTCTTGCAATTACAATTTTTTGAGCTTTATAACTACACTAGCTACTTCCGCGCGGTGTTACTCGCTCTGCTCGGCGCCTATTAATCGTAGCGTGATATTTTATAGCCTATAGCCTTCCTCGATAAATGGGCTATCCAACACAGAAAGAATTTTCCAAATCGGACCAGTATTTTCGGAGATAAGCGCGTTCAAACAAACAAACAAACAAAAAAACAAATTCTTCAGCTTTATAACATTAGTATACAATGTAGTAACTTTACGCATAAGATTGATATTCTATATCTTAAAAAACAGTTGAATAAGGAAGGAAATATAAAATACAATAGTTTACGTAAAGGCATTGTAATTTTTTTTACAATAAAACCAATTTGTTTGACGAAGCGCGTCCTTAAACTTTGAGAATAATACTTCTGACGAACTGCTTTAGATGTGATCGTGATCTCTTAAAAGACTGACTCGTTAGTCAAGTAGCTGCAAACTCGACTTTCGACAACGGGTTTCAGATTTAATTTTTACAACATAACACAACATCACGCCGTTTATCCCCGAAGGGGCAGTGGAGCACAATAGGTAGCTAGGACTGCAAAAAATTACGGCACTTAATGCCACTGTACAATCTAACACCCACCTTTCACTATTTATGTTATGAGTCCCATGTAATTGGGAGTGAGCCTAATGCCATATACCGGGCACATTACCAGACACCCTGCTACTACTGAGATAACAAACCCCAGTAGTACTTTGTTAGACCCGGGAATCGAGCCCGAGACCGGCAGTCGTACTTGCGACCACTCGGCCAACAAGGCAGTCAGTTAATGCAAATAATTAATTTATCATGAATTGTTTACCTTAATAAACAAATTATTAATACATAAATTATAGACTACTTACTTTGCATAGATATTTTTCAAGTATTAAAAACCGTCATGGAACTTTACATTCTCTGAAATAAGTATGCATATTTAAGTAAACTGCAGAATTTTATTTGTTTGCAAGCAAACTTACATCTCTGTAACCCTATGACGGATTTAACATGCTCTATTTGATGTAACAAATAAAAATTATAAGTTACAAACAAATAAGTACCGTTGTGATACCACGGCCTCATAGAAAACCGACGTGAAACAACGCTTTCGTTGTGTTTCGTCTTGTGAGTGAGGTTACCGGAGGCCCAATTACCCCTTCTCCCCAGTCCCCGTCTCCCGAATCCCCGAATCCTCCACAATCCTCAAATTCCCAATTCCCAAAGCCGGTAACGCACTTGTAACGCCTTGGTGTTTCGAGTGTCCATGAGCGGCGCCGATTGCTTACTATCAGGTGATCCGTCCGCCAGTTTACCGGCTTATGCTATAAAAAAAGAAAAATGTTCTTTACGTTAAACAGATTTCCAGCGAAAAGAACGTCATGTTTCTTCACGAAAGGGCTGAGTCGAGTAAAGTTAAACCGTAGTTCCACTGAAAACTAGCGGGAAACAACGATAGGTTGTTTTGTTGTGTGAGTAAAGATATCAAAGGCCCCACAGATCGGTAAGACTTTGCGAGCGTCCATGGGTTTTCTTTTTTTAAGGGGGGAAAATCATCGAATGACTGCTCCCGCCTGGTGAGGCGGAAGGGCGTGTCAGACTCTTACTGACTAAAAACCACCCCGTTCCTTCTCCTGCACGTCGAGCCGGAGCCCCGGTTACCCGTTAGGTTCTCCGCGACTCCGAATCGGTAACAGCCCTATTGGGCCCCATCTGTGGTGGTCTGATGGCTCTTTGAGGCGCGCGTCCATGGGTAAACCGTCTGCTCGTATGGCGTCTTGTCCTATAAAAACTGTTCGTTTATGTTCAACAATTGAATTAAAATACCGTTTACATTGAAGTTATAGTAATGTAATGTTTACGTATCTAGCGCCGCGCTTGACCGCGCATGCGCTCTATGTCACGTTCAAGGAGACTTGCGTACGCGTCGAGGTCGCGCGATCGCGCGTACTACGTCATACTCTCTTCCGATTTCTATGCATTAAGTGACTACCTTCGGAAATATATTTCATTTTGAGATGTTTAAAAATGAAAGATTTTCATAATATCTATCTCCCTACCTGTTTTTTTCTATATATTTGTGTACCTAAACTACAGATAGGTTCAGTCCTCGGTGTCATTTTTTGTACAGTGAAATGATATTGTAACACACGGGTAAATTAAAGATAATTGGGTAGTTTCCAGGGTACCAAAATTAAAAATCTAATTAGTCCGTCAGTTACATAATGAAAAAACACTAGACACTTATGTTTTTTACTCGTATTAAGCTGCAATACTTAGATAAAATAAAAGTGGGAGGTCGTTACGTCATAACGTGCTACAAAATGTGGCGGTGACACGATATTCCAAATTAATATATCGTCGAAAGTATTTAATTTTGTGCGAAAATAAAAAATACGTGTCTAAAGTTTTAAATGAATGTACCAGACGGACATTAAAATAAAATTTAGGAAACTACCCTATTGAATATTTCTAAAAATAAACCAAATACTACTGTAAATATGTAAATTTTCAAAGACCGATGTACAATATTTATCGCCTCAAACGGTAGGGACGTGATTGTTTTGCACTCCCACTCGTAACGCGTAATACTTTCCTGTATTGTACACAGAAAAGTATCAATTAGGCAAATTAGTTGTTTCCTCTACACTATACCAACTTCCATTCTAGCAAGTAATTCTTAAACAAGTACTTAGGTACTATTCGTTTGAATGAGATCGTGTCTCGAGCGAAGTCGAGTGATATGCATAATTTCGAACAATGTGAGGAAGGAAACGTATTTCCACAGTAATTAATACATTGTCAGGCCCAATGCGTTTCTACAGGGACATTATAAGGTCATTGGAGTTGACTTGAAGTGACACACAGATAATGGCAAGTCAAAACTCTTTTACTAGGTTTTTTTTTAAGGGGGGAAAATCATCGAATGACTGCTCCCGCCTGGGTGAGGCGGGAGGGAGTGTCAGACTCTTACTGACTAAAAACTAACCCTATTCCTTCTCCTGCACGTCGAGCCGGAGCCCCGGTTACCCGTTAAGTTCTCCGCGGCCTTTTACTAGGTTTAGCTCGCAACTATGTACGCGCAGTCACATTTTTCCCGTTCCCGTAGGATTTTCGGTGAATCCTTATATATAAAAAGTATCCCATGTCCGTCTCCTGGTTCTAAGCTAGCCCTATCAATTTTTATCCTAATCGATTTAGCAGTTCTTGATCTACAAATATTGTAACTGACACGATTGTCTTTTATATAATGGTATGTGTATCTTGCTCAATACAATTATTTATTTGTTTTAAATAATAATTGGTCGGGGGCCGCCTAAGGCACCGTCTACTAGACATTCTTGTTTGATATACCTATTAAAATCTAGCATCCATCCTTTCAATATGGCCAACATTACATTCCCTTTTTCTATTCTCTTTATTACATTCACAATTATCTTTGAATTATTTAATATATATTTTACTAACTAATTACTTATTATTATCATTATGTTTCCAGACATATTGCCTAGACGCGCAGGTGCCAGATTCAGCGTGCACTGCCACCTCCTACTTAACGGGTGTGAAGACAAAATATGGAGTCATAGGTCTTGATGGCAACGTTACTAGAGGCTCTTGTTATTCTCAACTTCATGAGCCAAACTGGTCTGAATCCATTGGCCAATGGGCTCTGGACCAAGGACTGGATGTAGGTGAGTTTTGAACGAACTTTTTTTATTGAACTGCTGGTGGAACTGTCACCCTCTGTTGTGTAATGTGGCGTTGATATGATCGGGGTTTCACAGCGTACAGAACTTTCTATAATTATATACAAATCTATAAATATTTCTCTTTTCTAAGTAGTGTGACAGTTAGAGGCAGTGAAGATGATGATGATAGCGAGTGTGTGTAAAAAGAAAATTCTATTAGGTAATTATAGTGGAAAGTGGGTGCTATATTAGATGCATGTTATCTCTATACAGAGTGTAAATGCAATAAGTCCGCCATTGTATACCCATTATGCAAGAAGTGTAAATAAATTTAAAAAAAAAACAAAAGAAATAGAACGCTCCCGAAATGCTTACAAAAAGAAATTGGGTAGATGCCCTTATCAAAAATAAATTATATCGACTGTTCAATACAATAAAGTATTAAAAAATAATCACACTTTCATTAAGTAATTGATTTTATGACTAACTTAATTTTAGTACCTACTTTTCCAGCAAACTTTTAGGAAATAAGTATGCTGTTTGACATTAAAAAAAACACACATCACAATACAGAATCTCGTGAAAAATTCATAGAAAACTGTCGTTTTTTGACTGTTCGAAAAAAAAAATATTGAATTTGATTTATTAGCAAGTACCAAACAAAATTGTTTATACAATTTGAATCGTTTTTGTTTTCATGTCATTCATGCAACATCAGTCTTGAGTATTTGATTACAACTATGATTACATTAAAGAAACATTTAATTCCTTACTTTTATGAAAATAAAACTTGTTGTTTGTATCACCTATTGGGGAGCATTCTGTTATACACTCGTTAGTCTGTCTATACACTGTATAGTTTTTGCCTACCTCAATGGGCCAAAGATGAACCCAATACAATGATGATTGTAAAATATTAAAATACCATACTATCGTATTACCATGTCTTTACAAATTCCTAATCTTTTATGTTATATAATTCTGCTGTGCGTGTGTATGCCATTGAACGGCTTGATCGATTTAAATGAATGTTTCTGTACTTTCCTAAACGGCTTGATCGATTTAAATGAATGTTTCTGTACGCGTTTGAATGGCGCCCTGGATGGTTTAGATTCACAAATCAGCCCGGCAGATGGCGTTGTGGTCGATTGTTAGGTTATTTATCCTAAACGACTGAACTAATATGAATGAATTTGTTTATACATTCAAGTGGATATGCAGGACAACGTCTGTCTATATGCTATTTTCATTGACTATATATACCACTACGGTCACGGTAAACCAAATAATTATTCATCGACGTACAAAAGTAGAACAATTGGTGATTAGAGGACAATCGCTTGATATTCAATTAATTCAACTACATCGATTTGTTACTCATTCATAAATAGATATGAATGTAATAATGTCTGTAATGTAGACATTAAGTTAAGGGGGTAGACAGAGTGTCTGTCTACCCCCATGGGAAACTACGCGTGACGTTATGTATGTATGTATGTATGTTTGTATGTAATAATGTTAGAATGTAGTCGATTTGTCATGACCGTGGGTTACGAGATCCAACTGTTAGATTAAATCTTTAATAAAAACCGTGCAGACAGACAGCAGCGCCCTCTGATAAACCTGACGCCTTAGTAAGAGTTTCTTTTACTTTAAAAGTAATCGTAACGAGGACGCGTTCCTCGCTGTGATTGGCCGACTCCCATGAACAAACCAATCGGAGAGCTGAGTGCCAAGCACGAATAACTTTCGCATTCGTAACGTAATAGTATCGAGCGCGTTCGGCGCTCTGATTGGCCGGCTCAAGTGAACCAACCAATCAGAACGCTTAAATCGCTCGATACTGTTACGATAAGAATGCGATAGTTATTCGTGCTTGGCCCTCAGAAGGCAGTCTCGTTTCGATTACTTGTAACGTAAAACAAACTTGTACTAAGACCTCTGAACGTTTTTAGGGTGATCTTATTCATTTATTTTTATTTATTTATAACTAGTTTTTACCCGCGGCTTCGCTCGCGTCACAAAAGGATAAAAAGTAGCCTATGTGATATATACCAATACACACAGCGCCATCTATACCAATAATTTCGTTTTCTTTCGAGAATATCAAATTTTTCCGAGATAAAAAGTAGCCTATTATTTAATCCAGACTTCTAACTTTACGTCTGCAAAAAATCAAAGCAATCGGTTTAGTAGTTACGGCGTGAAAGCTGAACAAACAAACAAACTCACTTTCCGATTTATAATATTAGTAAGTAAGGATAGTAAAGATTTGTACTAGCCCGGCAAACTTTGTGCCGCCTACATTTTTTTTATACCTTTTAATCCTTCCCTGAACTATTACGAACATTTCAAAACCTAAAATTAGTCAAATCGGTTCAGCCGTTCTCGAGTTTTAGCGAGACTAACGAAGGTAAATTCATTTTTTTTTATTATATAGATATAGATTATATAGATATTATTACAAATATATATTTATTATTATTATTTTATTTTATTTAAGTTTATATTGGAATGAATGATTATATAAAGGAGTAAAAAAATAATATATAGATAATTATATTATTATATAATAATTATATTTGTGCACAATTCACAGACAGTAGACAAGAGAACATGAAAACAGATCAAGTTACGGTGGATAGTTTAGGTCAGGTTATCCTTGTCTGTCAAATTTCTCTATTACAACTTCAACTTATTGTATTGACATAAAGTCTAAAATCCAATGAATGAATTTGACATACTTGATAGATTGATCTCCTGGCAACTGTACACAAGTCTTATTAGTCAATTGGGTAGGATTTTCATTCCTTCTATAAAGTGTGGAGTATATGGCAAACTCTTGAAACACACATTTCAGTCATGGACTGTCACAAGTAGGTGATGGTAAATAATAAAAAAATCGTTTATTTGTAAAAACAGATTAAATACAAACATTGCTTATTCTAATTTAATAAATAAAATCATAAATGACAACTTTAAATATATAATAATATTATTATCATAAACATAAGCAACAAATAATGGAAATTTACAGAAATATAATTAAGTGATGTGATGTTGCGTACAGCGCCATCTACAAATTTTATTTTGAAACAAAATGAGAACTAGCTAATGCAAATAGTTCGAATGGTACCCGCTAGAGGGCATTGGTAGCCTCAGTATTCGTTCAAATACTTTCGAGATAAAAATACCTAATTATCAAAACTCAATACCGTATTTTAAGAAATAAATGTTTTATTTCCCTTATAATTTTATACTTCTTAAGATGACTTAGCTTCAAATAAAATGGCGACATTTTACATAGATGATATTTTAGTAAAGTTTAAATAATAATTTGTTTAAATTGTTTGGGTAAGATCAATATTATAAAAGTTAGATTATAATATTTTGGTACCTAGTTTTTGATCTAGGTGGAATGATGTGTCATTTACGTCACAATATAGCATATAGTCATTTAGTAAATAAACTAGTGTCAAAGAGTATAATAAGTATAGGGGAATAGTGTTATAGGTTATGATTTAGCCACGTGCAAAATATTAACGAAATTACGTTAGTCACATCAATCATAACTATAATGTACAACATATGAAACTACTTAAACATTACAACATGAGGTATGAATTATATCTATCAATCATTCATTGCGTAGAATGCTTTATTATATAGAAATAGGTACATGTCTTATTATTCTTCAATCTTCGTCAATAGCATGATATTGACGAAGAAAACAGTGATACGATAAAAGTAATAATATATCAATGTAATATATCCATGTCAGCATCAACGACATCATTCGTCGTGCTCTTGCCTCAGCCGGTGTACCAGCCGTATTAGAACCTAATGATTTGGTACCTACCTGATGACGGCAAGAGACCAGATGGTATGTCGTTGCGGCCTTGGAAGATGGGTAGGCCTTTGGTGTAGAACGCGACGCGCGTAGACACACTAGCGCCATCACATCTTCTATTATTATTATTATTTATTTATTTATTAATAATAAAGGTACATGGTATGCCTTATAATCTAACGCCATGTCCAACAAAACTATATGTAAATAGTTTGACTGTTGGATCTTCTATATTTAAATTACTATTTAGTAGGTATTTGTAGTTTACTATGATAATGGTTATGATTAATTTTAAATACATGTGGTTATGGTAGTGTGCTAAACAGATATTTTTTTTTAATTTAGTCTTAAATTTATTTTTATTTTTCTCTTACCTGACTTCGTTTGGTACCGCTGCATGCGCTGGTGCAGCCGCTTCCGTAGCAGAGGCCCTCAAACAGCGTAAATATTTAAATCTAGTGGGTAACTGTTTTGAGCCGTTTGGAATCGAAACACTTGGGCCATGGGGTCCCAGTGCACACTGTCTTTAAAGATATCGCCCGTAGGCTAATCGACTCTACACGTGACCAGAGGACTGGCTATTTCTTCGGACAGAAAATAAGCATTGCCATTCAACGTGATAATGCTGCCAGTCTTCTGGGAACGTTCCCCTGTGATAGTGATGCGGACGAATACTTTGACGCCTGAATTAATAATATATGATAATTTTTGCCGTTTCCTTTTTTTACTTTCGTTTCATTTCATCGTTTAGCTGTAGTTAATTTTAAGTTGTAAATATTTATGTACTTATATATATTTAATAATCACTCACGTAACTGAAATTCAATAACTAATAGATGGCGTTAGTAGTCTGTATTTTTAAAGAGAGAAAGAAAATTACTCTGGCCAAGTTACCTACTAATATAATGAATGTGTGAAAGTTTGTGAGGGTGTATGGATGGATGGACGAATGTATTTATCATTCTTCTACGAAACAGCTACTCGACGAATTTGGATGAAAGATGGAACAAAGACAAATTATTTTATAATCTACTAGCGTAGTTTAAACCCGGCGAACGCGGGTAGAGCCGCTGTCCCAGGCAAAAGCAAGTACATAGGTAATAGAAATTCAAACAAAGTAAATATGTGAAACCACAAGCAGTAGTTTCAAAACTCTATTTTCCTGATTTTATTGCGTCATACAATCAGCATAGGCACGTCATAACGATGACGTTCAAATAGTTGTTCACAAACAACAACAATTCCTACTATTGTTTGTATGCTTTTGTTTTGACCCATTCTCGTGTTTATGGTGTTAGGATAGTCATACTAGAGTCTAAATCTACGTCAGTTTTTTCAAAGTACACGTAAATGCGATGTGCGTATATGTCACCAAAAAATAACAAGAACCGTTAGTTTTTTTTTATGGGATAAGCCGACGGATCACCTGATGGTAAGCAATCGGCGCCGCCCATGGACACTTGAAACACCAGGGGCGTTACAAGTGCGTTTCCGGCCTTTTGGGAACCAGGGATTCGGGGATTGGAGAGCCTGAGGAGGGGGGTAATTGGGCCTCTGGTAACCTCACTCATACGATGAAACACAATGCAAGCATTGTTTCACGTTGGTTTTCTGTGAGGCTGTGATATCGCTACAGTCGAGCCGGCCCATTCGTGCCGAAGCATGGCTCTCCCACACTTTCTAGTAAAAAACTGAACTTCCGTAGGATTCTAAACGAGACGTAAAATAAAATAAAAAGTTTATTTCAATTACAACAGGCATTACATAAAATTATTGGAGATCACCTTTTAAGCAATGGATTGCTTGTGTTAGGAGACTCCGCCTCGTAAATAGGTACTATTTAGAAAACGCGGATCTTAACTTGGTTACAATACCTATGAAGGGCAAAAAGCGATCTTGCCCATAAATATGCCTTTAGGTACATAGTAAATGATTTTTCCAAACTAAATTGAACTCAAACACTCAAAGATATGGTTTATTTTTCCAGGCATAGTGACGACGACGCGGGTAACTCACGCTTCACCAGCGGGCATGTATGCCCACACATCTGAGCGGAACTGGGAATCTGATGCCGATGTACCAGATGAATGCTTGGCTGCTGGATGCAGGGACATAGCGTATCAACTCGTCACTAGCAGTCCTGGAAGACATTTCAAGGTAACATTACTTAAAGTACTGCCTCATTGGCCGAGTGGTCGCAAGTGCGACTGTCGACAAAAGGGTTTCGGGAATCCTGGGTAGGGCAAAGTAATACTGGGTTTTAAAAAAAATCACAGTAGTAGCACGGAGTCTGCAAATGTGCCTGGTATAGGGCAATAGGCTCACCTTCTATTACATGGGACTCATAACACAAATAGTGAAAAGCGGGTTACATTGTACAGTGGCATTAAGTGCTGTAATATGCACATCTACCTACCCCTCCCCTTCGCTGATAAATGGCGTGAAGTTATGTTATTACTTAGAACTAACCAATAATTCTATAAGAGCCCACTGCTGAGGAAAGGCCTCTTTTCACATGGAGATATCGCCTCGCTTGCACGAGGTGCATTAGCGGTAAACTTCTAATTGAAAATTATGTCCATGTTCCCTCACGATATTCTCTTACACCGTGTATCAGTGATATCTAAATCTCCCAATACCTGAAGGCTGGCAATGCACTTGGAACTCCCCTGGTATTGGCGCCGATTGCTTACCATCATGTAATCAGTCTGGTTGTTTGCACACCTATTCAATAATGAAATATTGTAATATAAATCTTTGTGTATAAAGGAAATAAATAAATGTATTATTCGATTATTTCAGGTCATCATGGGCGGTGGTCGTAGAGAATTCCTCCCGAACACGACGAACATTTTAGGCAGTAAAGGGAGGAGGCTGGATGGCGTGGACCTCACGGACCTGTGGCATGTCGACAAACTCAATATGAATGCGACACATCAATACGTCACCGACAGATTAGAGCTTTTAAAGGTACCCTATCTATCTTTTTAGTCGCGGAGAACCTAACGGGTAACCGGGGCTCCGGCTCGACGTGCAGGAGAAGGAACGGTTTTTAGTCAGTAAGAGTCTGACACTCCCTTCCGCCTCACCCAGGCGGGAGCAGTCATTCGATGATTTTCCCCCCTTAAAAAAAACCTATCTTTTTAAAAACTATCGTAAGATAATACATTAATTAAAACGAAGAGTCCCTCTGTGACTCGGAACTACTAACGCTTTTCTCATTATGTCATGTAAGTAAATCAGTGTTTTAAAATTAATTTGGTACCCACCTAATTACTAATTTGTGTAACATGTAAGTACATACAGTGATACATATATCCCAAAGTCCTTACTTGAGTAGTTGAAACTACGACTGCTGAGCAAGAGGTCTGAAGCTGACACGGTATCATATCATTGTCATAACATAACATAACATCACGCCTTTTATCCTCGAAGGGGTAGGCAGAGGTGCACATTATACCACTGTACAATGTAACACCCACTTTTCACCATTTATGTTATGAGTCCCATGTAATAGGGGGTGAGCCTATTGCCATATACCGGGCACAGTTCCAGACTCCGTGCTACTACTGAGAATTTTTTAAAAACCCAGTAATACTTTGCCCGATCCGGGAATCGAACCATATCATTGTCATGTCTGCTAAATAAGGAAAAAGTACGAATTAGCAAAGATACGTGTCGTACTTAACCAAATACTAGTAGAATTTTACCTCTCTGTGAAATACCTAGTTGAGAGGGTACAAACTGACTGTCGATGAGACTTACCTATTACAATAACTCAGAATATGTCGCTCCATGACTCAAACCGCTGACTTGGCCAGAAAGCCGCAAGTTTGAAATGGAACCAACCTGGTCACGGCTGCCGCAAGTCGGACGAGGGGTGGGCAAAATTCAAAACTGAGTGGAGCCCACTACGTAAACAAATGTCGCAGCAGGCCCAGGAGATGGCGAGACGAACTAGTCACTTACGACACGTATTGACCGCAGAAAGCTTCTCAGAGATAGGAGTGAAAGCAGGGTAGCCTTTGCCAGGCGGTGAGACGATCACAGCTGAAAATAAAAATAAATAATCATTGTATTTTACATACATAGGGACAGGGAGTTCGTCCGATAAAAATTCATTCAATACTGTAAATAAACTATACTATATAAGGTTAAGGTACTGTATACTATAAGTTAGTATTTTACCTAATATTAATCACAGACAGATCTGTGATTAACCTCGTAGACCTCGTTGAATGACTGCCTCGTTGGCTGCGAGGTCACAGTGAGACTGCCCGGCCTGCCCAGCAGTCGGTTGCCCCACCCTGGTTAAAGTAAAACTGGAATTTAAAAAAAATCTCAGTAATAACACGGAGTCTGGAAATGTGCCCGGTATATGGCAATAGGCCCATCCTCTTTAACAGGGAACTCATAACATAAGTAGTGAAAAGTGGGTGTTAAGTACACTGTACAGTGGATTAAGTGCCGTAATATTCACCTCTGCCTACCCCTTTAGGGATAAAAGGTGATGTTATTATTATGTTTGTTGTGCAATTAACAAAATAAACAAACGAATGTGCTTATTGATATAGGTATATTATTGTATTCCTCATTCAACTTGTTATGTAGGTACGGACATATAAATACAAATGGCCTATCGGCCATTACAAACATGTATAGGTAATTTACAACAGCTGATCTGTGTTATTTATGAACAGTAATGTTATTATTAATTATTGTTCCTGTTGCTAACAGGAATATGACACGAGTCAAGGATGCAGTGATAACAGCTCGCGAACTGCCTATAGTTTATACTTCTACAAATAATGACGTCAAACTATATTCATTAAAAGTTTGAAATGTACTTAACGCGTTAAACGCCTTGGGGTCATCGGTGACCGGCGTTAGCGGAGAAATTGCCTTCAGTCAAAGCTTTAATAATGTATTCGGTATGCACCAAATGCTTCTTGGGTCAAATATCTGCAACAAGCAACTTATAACATTATATTATTGAAGCTCATACACAAAAGTATTTTCATTTGTACCAAAATACAGCTGTAATGCAATCAAAAGGAAGAGATACATAATTAATTAACAGTACACTTGAAGTAATGTTTTGTATTGTCCTGTTTCCAGGTCTTCAATTCCGACGACTTGCCGGAGTACTTGTTGGGGTTGTTCAGGGATGATCACATGGAGTACCATCTTAAAGCCGAGAACCAGCCATCTCTCGAAGAAATGGTGGAAGTGGCCATCAAGATGCTTAGTAGGAGCTCTAAGGGATTCTTCTTATTTGTTGAAGGTAACATTTTAACCTCTTATTAGCAAACAAAAATTACTGTCTACATCAAAGACGATGAAAAAATCGCGGATGTAATGTCACTGGGAAATGATTGAAGCACCGAGGTGTGGTATATTTATACTTGCAACACCTTCATGTATTAAGTGTAATGACGGGCCATGTCACGCAACCGATGTCCTTCGTGTCAATGTGTGTGTATTCTGCGTGTAAGTCTATAGTACCTAGGTGCCATAGCCGTTGTTTCAAGAGACTATGACCGCCTTTTTTTTCGACTTCCTTAGTCCAGACAATGGAAGCAATTGCCATAGATTGAATAGTTTTTCGTAAAAGTTAATAACCTCTATAACAAGAACTAAATTTTTTAAACTCGTTAAGTTATTAATCTTAAAATTCCTTCAATTTACAGGTGGAAGAATCGATCATGCGCACCACGACAGCTTAGCTCATTTAGCACTGGACGAAACGGTGGAATACTCGAAAGCTGTGAAGAGAGCAAGATCTCTGACCAGTGAGAAAGACACCCTGATAGTCGTCAGTGCTGATCACGCTCATACGATGACAGTTGCTGGGTACCCGTCAAGAGGCAATGACATTCTTGGGACTGTGGACACCGCAAATGGAATGGATGGAAAACCCTATACCACTATTAGTTATGCAAATGGAAGAGCTCAATCGATTGCAGCGGACGGAAGGGTCGATGTGACCCAGGATAAACAATTTACATCTCGTTAGTATCATTTTAATTCTAAACAAACACTTTGTTAGGTTAGTTCGGTCTCTGGATTAGTCAAGACGTATCGTACATAGTATAGTACATTTTTGTCCCTCAAAAACTTTTATTTTTTTTAATTCTTCTTTGTTTAGTATCGATATAAATGTATTGTTTTGTTCTAATTAAAGGTGATCCAGACTACGCCTATCCAAGCTTAGTGCCTTTAGATTCGGAGACCCACGGCGGGGAGGATGTGGCAGTGTACGCATCTGGACCTTGGCAGCATCTGTTCACTGCTAGCTACGAGCAGAACCTAGTGCCACATCTAATGGCCTATGCCATGTGCATCTCAGAAGACCAGCACGGCAACTGTGGACCAGAAATCCACAAATACACCGCTAGTGGTGTCACCACCAACCCTAGTACCAATTTACTGATAAGTTTAACTGTGATATTTATTTTAAGGATATTTTATTAGGTAAAAATACTTAACTTTTTATTTTACTTTAATAGCGTAATAAAGTTGGAATTGTATGGAATGTATGGAAAGATCGAAAATAATTTAAAATACGGATTATTTGCGTAAATTATTTGGGAAAAGTTTCGCTAGTTTCAAGTGATACCGGGAATCTTCATCAGCAGCATTCACGGTGCAGTCACGGAACCTACCAGCAGAGCTTTTCTCGAATAATTCACACGAGAAAATCGTATTTTAAATTAATTTTATATATCTGACGATAGTTACACAAAGTTGTCAATTACAGTTGTACTAGCCTGTGATCTGAAACATTCCCAAATAGCCTTGAACTTCTGTATCCAGTATACCTGTTTCTGTATCATGTAACCACATTTATTTGACTTTACCACAGACATACCCGCGAAAAGGACTTTCGTTTTATAATACTTTTGCTTACGAATAATGCAGTTTTCATGTTTGTTTCATGAATTTTAATCAATAAGCATTTTATGAGCTGTGAGATTAACTTATCAAGATAGTATTCATAAAAGGGTTCTATATGATTTTTAGGAATTTAGAACTTTGTGCCCGGTATAGCCCTTTTCGCCTTAACCTTTCATGTGTATATAACGCGGACCCACACGAGACGCAATATCTTTTGTACTGTGTCTCATATCAGTGTATTCTACTAGTTAATAGCAATTTTATACTGGTCACCTCTGCCTACCCCTTATGCCTATGCTTCTTGATAAAGATGGAAATGTTTTGATAAAACAAATTTGAAGTGAATAAAAAATATTTTGCATAGCATTTAGCTACAGAAAACTATCAAAGTACGGACTTCTGTATCATCGTTAAATGAGACAGATAAACACCAATTAGTGCAACAATTGACAATTTGAAAATTGAAACTTAATAAGATGTCGTACAGCTTAGGACCGGTTTACCTACGACGTAGATAGTTCCATTGTCAAATGACTCCCTTCAAACGTGATGAGGTTGAAAACTTATTAAAAAAGTTACATATTATCTACTGTATAGTAGTTGTACATAATAAATGAATTAGAAAATATTGTTTAAGACCTAGACTAAGAGAGATATTTCAGTATTTTTATTAATAAACATTGTGAAGTACAATTAAATGGAAGTTTTTTATTTACTGTATAACATAGGCTTTGTTTTATTGTATGCAAGAATTGGAAAGCACTATGAAGATACAGATACCAGGCTGTTACAGCTTGGTCATGGAATATTTGCCACAGCAAAAATCCTCCGAGGCGACCGGATATGTAGCGACGACAGCTTGCTCAGTATATTTCTATGTAAATAAACACATAGAAACGTACTAAACAAGCCACGCGGAGCGGCGACCGTTCGCCGGATACCGAGCAAATTGCCTCGGACCGCGCCGAGTGAAACAAATAAATATCGAATGAATCAGTACGGCGCCAGTCTTTTGAAACTTAGAACTAATATTTTTTGTATGAATTCCTTAACCTGCAGTAGCGGACATTCAAAAAACTTTCCGAATTATAACTATTCTAATAACTGACCCCCTTGGGCATAACTCTATCGCCCACTCTAAACTCTGGCTCGTACATTGAGTCAAAAGCACAATTGGTTATATAGGGTTCTTCAAGAAGGAAGGAAATAGGTTTTTTAAGGTCCGACAAGGCCCATCTATTGCCCCAAATGTTGCAAGCATTAATATGCCACGGAAACCACTTAGCACTAGCACGAAGCTCTCGAGCACATCAAGAGCGTTCCAAGAGGCTCATCATGATACGCTTATGGAGGCCCGGCAGCAAATCCCCAAGCCAGGCGGCAAGCCGACATTTCGAAGAACTGTAAAACTCAATTCCTACCAGTCCAAATTTTTGACGAATACCTGGAACAAATGATTCAGTTAGGTAAGTCCAATTCAGAGGAGGTCAATCGTCGAGTCCGGGGCATAGGTAGCGTTTTATTTTATTATATTAATTTGGGTCACCATTAATTGATCTCACTCTCACATAGGGTTACATTACATTTAAGATAACTCAAATACTAGTGAATCGATCTATTACAAGTAAGCACAAAATGCATTATATATATACTAAATGGTTTAAAAATTACTATGACCATTGCAAAATACAACCATCGAGGGACATTCAATATTAAAAATTAAAAACTATTAAGAACTTAAAATCGAAGCGTTCGGGTAACACACAACATCGTCTCGCCCGGTGTACCTCAGTGCCTTAAGGTTAAACTAGTCGCGGGCTCGAACTCAATCAAGGGCGTGGCCAAAAAGCGCGCTGTCTCATCTAACATCGTGTGCGACAGAAATAGTACCAGTGATGAGCAGTTAGACGCTATCTACATAGTATAAAGAACATTGCACGACGTATTGTTCGCACGCACACAAACACAGCAAAACGTCACTGAACGGTGCATATATCTGTGTTGTTGTGTGTTTACTCGTAGTAAAGTCGTACGCGCTGCTACGATTTTGTGATGCTCGCATGAATTTTAGTAATTATTGTCACAGGGCATTGTAATTACTGAAATTTTTTTATGATAAGTTGATAACACAATATCCGAAGAATCTATGAATAACGAAAGGCTAGGGATATAATTCTGTAGGTAAGCAGTTACTTTTTTTTCTAAGTACCAATAACTTTATGTACCTACTAAACCTAATAGGTACCTACAATATTTGTTATATTTATTTAGTTTTCGTAAAAGTAGATAATTACCTAAAAGTATGTTTACTTGCTAAAAATAAAGTAAGAAACGTAATAAAAAGTATAGTTGACAACCCCAATCGAGTTCTCACGGAGCGCGATAGCCACAAAATATAAAGGTACCTAGTTAGTTCTATGGTATAACTACATACAAAGAGCGCTCGAGCACGTAGGTATAAACAGTGAAGCAGGTACATACCTACATGAGATTGACTTCTGTACCTATGTATTTTGCGCGAAAACATTCGGCTTGACGGTTGCCCGTTGATATTATCAATATTCCTACTTGCGGTTATCTACAATAATTTATTATAAAGAGCCTAAAGAGGTAAAGTTTGATTTATAATTAGGTAGCATGATCATTTCTTCTGTCTGGGTGTTTTTTATCTAATTATAATAATATGTAAATATTTAGAAATATACCTCTAAGTATGTATATCTGTTGTCTAGTAGGTAGGTACCTACACATAACACAAGCTCTGCTTAGTTTGGGACTGGACAGCGTAGGTACAGAGTTGTGTGATAGTTGTGGAATATTATTATTATATTATTATAACTTAGGTATTATTTAGGAAGGATGGCTAAAAAGCATATCGTACGTAAACGTAGTGTACCTGCTAGTAAAATATCAAATTCGGTCTAGCCGAATTGAACATTGACCTGAACAAATAGAGAGACAGACAGACGGAAAAATAAATAGGAAAAATACAAAAATAAATAAATAAAAAATGGGTTTAAAAACTATTTATTTGTTTTTTCTGTCTATCTGTCTTTCTGTTTGTTATACGTAGGTACCTATGTCCAAAGGAATAAGTAGTTTTTTTTACCTACTTATCGTGCACATAGCCGTGTGAGCATGAAAAATTCTATGTAGGTAAGGTATTTTAATATTTGGTACAAACTGACACTGCAATTTATTTACATTGTTTAGTATAGGTATATCGATTTTACGATTTATAAATAATATAAGTATCGTACACCTCGCACTATAATACCTACGGACAGTTTACTGACAAGCTTTTATATCGGTAGGCAGGTACTTACTCGTGGCTTCGTTGATAACTAACAATTATATTTTTGTTCAACTTACGAACCGCGAATAATACCTTAGTACCTACCTACCTAATAAATAGGGTACGATCGTGTCATCGTATAAAGGGCATCTTGTGTAGGTATAGACCTACTCCTATCCTACCTATCGACACCACACCACCGCACCGGTCGCAAAGCTCCAGTCGTAAGATAAGGGTAAGGAGAATAGTCTACACATACGATACAAACCACGTAGGCCACAGCAGCAGACTAACGTCCAGTTTCAATAACCTATCTATCTGTAGATTTGCTTACTAGAGATAGATTTTTGACACTTTTTGTATGGAGCTCATGTCAAAATTCTATCTCTAGTAAGCAAATCTGCAGATAGATAGGTTATTGAAACCGGCTGTAAGACGACCGAGTCCAAAACAATAGAAAATAAATAGTCTAATGATTGCACGACAGCGCGTGTCGTGCAATAAATTGTGCAAAAACGCGTGAGCGTCTTCCCTCCGCCCCGCGCCGCTGCCGGGGGAATTTTATCTAATGAAATGCACGATAATTCATCGTAAAACGAGTGCGTATAAAAGTACGATTTAGTGCTTTAGGAAATAGCGATTTTTGAAAAAACCACTGCTTAGATCAATTTCAAATAAATTTTATAGAACTCTCTGGTAATTGTGCTGTGTCGGTACGGTCTACGTTTTGGAGATTTTACACGATTAGTGGTACTTTTTAACACCCAAAGTTGCGGTAAAATTGTCATGAAAAACAAAACTTTGGTGGCTCATAACTTTTTAATCGTTTTTTTTTATTTATTTTTGTTTCCGTACCGACAAATGTAATTACAAGATAAAACGTTGTCGTGTTTAATTTTGGAGATACAAATTCACACTGTGGAGTAATACCACCCCGAACTTTCTATGGAAAAAATATCGACTAGTGTAACCTTAAGACCAAAATGTATATAGTCAGTGTGTATTACCAGCGATGATATAAAGAACCGAAACGTGGCTTCTCACTATAAGAAAGCTCAAGGTCTCTCTGCGCGTTATGAAAGGCAGCGAGCTAGGCATTCTTTAGCACAGAGTCTGGAATTGTGCCCGGTATATAGCAATAGGTACATGGGACTCATAAAATAAATATTGAAAAGTGGGTGTTACATTGTACAGCGGCATTAACCCTTTGAGTACCGTCATTATAGACTTTAAACTGTCAAACACCGCGAGGACACCGGTGACCGCAACCTAATTGTTCTTT